TTTATTTTTTAGTGATTAAACTATTCTAAGCGGCACCCGTTTGCTCCGGAAACAAAAGGTAAAAATAGATCATATCTAACCAACAAATAAAAAGGGAAAACAGGATTTTGTTCGGCTGTCTCTCACTTCCAGCAAAAGCACTTACCAAGCTACAGTGTAACCGCAAGTGCGAATTTCCAAAGATTCGACTCCCAAAACCCAACAGCAAACGATGAACTCTCTCGACAGGAACCCCAAGCCAGAAACAAATCTCCAGCCACGCCACTGCTCTCCAAACGTTTTCCTCCTTTTCTTTCCAGCTGCTGTTCCGAAATTCCTCCAACACACCAAGAAAATTTTTCCTTTTTTTTCTCCTCCTCTGTTTGTTGCACAAGTCTTCCTTCAACCTCTCCTTCCGCGAAGCTCCCTCTTCTTAGCTGGATGTCGGGCCATCTGCTCAAGAACGGGGCTAACGGAGCATGAGGAACGGACGAGCAAAGAACAGGGTCCGCGAGAAAGAGCAGAACCGAACCTCTCTCCTTTTTTTTTTGAATCTTTTATTGTGGCTGTTTGGTGATTGGTAATGGTGATGGTGATGAGAGTGATGATCGGCAAATATGGTTGTAAGATGGAGATCGGGGGGACTGGAAAGAAGCTGGGAAGAGAAGAAGACTTTTGTTGGCTCGAGTCAAACCCGACACTCTCCTGGTTACGTTTTATGTTGCTAGGGTTATCTTCAAGGGAATTTTTTTATTCAGTAGCTAATGGTATTTAATATATTTTTTAATTATTAATTTATATAAAATAATAAAAAATTAATATTATTATTAATATCAAATTTCTTATGTCTTAATTTAATTAATTTATTATTAAAATTAAAATTAAAATTAAAATTAAAATTTATTTTTTCTATATAATTTAATGATAAAAAAACATATTAATTATTTATTTACTTAACTTAAACACAAATAAAAAAACGCATTTTAGGAATCGGGCTTGGGTTAATTTTGTATATGGATCGGATTTTTGTATGATTTTAAATTGGATCTGGATGCAATTAAGCCCAAATAGGATAATGTTTTCCCCTTTTTGCACATATGATACTAGAAGCGAACATTTTTTTGGTAAAGGCTGGGTGTAAAATATATTTGATATTTAATTTAAAAATTTATAGGCATAATTTTTTAATTTTGGTAATTATCTAAATCTTTGAACATTTATACTTAGTACTTAACCTAATAAGTACTAGGTAATTTCAAGTATATGCTTATATATTTATTGAATTATATTTTGTTTTAAATTTTTTAAATTAAAATTTAATAAAATATTTCTTACTTTTAATTTAAACTTAAATAAAGCTAATAAAACTTTAATAAAATATTGTTTGTTACAATTTAAACTTAAATATAATCTAAAATAACAATAAAAAACTAAAATTTAGTTTCATATTAAGAACTCAAATCTACATGCTATTAAAAAACTAAACCCAATTAAATAATTAACAATAAAGAACAAAATATATGTACCCAAAAATAAAGAATAAAAATAAATTAAATAATGAAATGAAAGTTCTTTAAAGAAGGTGTCCAGGTTTTTGGACTTATAGTCCCCCTAATTCTCTACTTTGATTTATTAAAAAAGGATAGTGACAAATTTTATTATACCTATAACATCTTGATATCCATACTTTTGATTTATGATTCTTATCATATTAAATTTGGAATTTTATGCTAAGAAGTCATCTATACAATAAATAAAGACTATGACTTGAAAGTCACTAATATATAGAAAAGTAAAAAGAAAGCTAAAAAGAATCAAATTTTGAAATTATAAGTACTCACCATTGCCTAAGAGTGCGAGGAAGGAAAATATGCTTTTGAGTGCTTGTGTGATATATGTTTAGTTTAGGGTTTATTATTCACATGTACGTATATAATTTCTTTTATTTTTATTTTAGTATTTTATATTTTTATTTTTAAAAATTATTGTTATTATATAGATATTAAATATAATAAATATATATAAAATTTCAATTATACAAATATAAGTAACATGTTAGTTAAAAAAGTTGATTAAACAGGTTGAGTAAACAGGTCGACTAACAATTTTGAAT